GTCAGAATCAGAGCTTGCACCCCAGCTGCAAAGTTTCATGGAGCCCTGGACAGGAGCTGTAGAATGAAGGGCTTAACCCTCTGAGGGTTGGTTGCTTAGCACTGAGCTCAGGCTTATGTACCTGGGGTGTATGTGTCCCTACTTGGTGGGCTGAGCTGACCCAATGCTGGCATTTCTCTCCACCCCAACCCCCTGGTGCCCAGGTTGCCTGGGCTCTGCTGTTCATGTCTGAAGTGTGGACTACCCTCCCTGGCTGCCTCACTACGTCCTGAGCTCAGCACACTCTCTGGGACCCTGTAGCAGTCTTGTAGTGCCAGTCTCCAGGCTGTACCCTAAGCCCGCTCATCGGTTCTTTAGTGGAGGCAAAATGTCTGCCAACTCTCTGCCAACCCTCAGGGTACCTAGGTATCAGGGTATCCTTCTGTGTGCTGAGCATCTGGCCTCTGCTCTTCTCTGTCAGAAGGCAAATACATCCCAGCTGCATTCAGAATCTCTAACATTTTGGAGCCTCTTTAAAACTGGGTGAGCCTGCTTTTCTCAGCTGCCAGGTACAGGGGACAGAGCTATCAGACTCAAACTTGGTTGTATATTGCAGTCACCTGGGGAATTTTAAAAAATACTGATGCCTGGATCCTATCATTTGAAACTCTGATTTAATTGCTATGGGATGTGGACTGGACATCAGGATGTTTAAAGATGCCTCATATGATTCAGACATGTAACAAAGTGTGAGAACCACTGGTCCGTAGAATGAAACTGCTCCAGATTTATTTTCTCCAGGCAGAAAAACTCTGCTTCACTTGCCTTTTTTCAAAGATCATATTTCTTAAAACTTTAAGCATAGCTGGGGCTGGATTTCAGTTTCTCCTGGATTCCCAGGTCCAGAGCTGTTTCCATGTCATCATTAGAGTTGGATCATTATTTTGGAATATTTTACTTATGAAGTATTTACTTGATTAAAATAAAATTACCTTTTTAAAAATATATTTTTTATTGATTTCAGAGAGGAAGGGAGAGGGAGAGAGAAACATCAATGATGAGAGAGAATCATTGATTGGCTGCTTCCTGCACCCCCCCTAGTGGGGGTCGAGCCCGCAACCCGGGCATGTGCCTTTGACTAGAATCGAACCCGGGACCCTCCAGTCCTCAGGCTGATGCTCTATCCACTGAGCAAAACCAGCGAGGGCTACCTTTTTTATTCACACTTGAATTAGAGAGGAGCCTAGCATAGTGAAAAGGGCTGGGTTTTAGAGATAGACAGACTTGGCTTTCAATGGTAGTTCTGCCCTTGCTTTACGTGATCTTTGATGGGTGACAATTTCTTGGAGCCTCAGTCTCTCCAACTATGAAATGGGGACAATGGCTACCTCTTAGATGTGGATTGATGATTAAATGAGATAACACATGTAAAGTGCCTGGTACGGGGAGTAGTGGTAAAAAATAATTTGTCCCACACATACTAGGGACCAGAAGTGCTCACTCTTACAACAGTGTCACTGAACATCCTTGAGTTTCAGAGCCATTCTACCAGGCTGCTAGGTCCCCAGGAGGACCTCTGGGGCCAATGCCTTCTTCACTCTGGAAGCAGACGCCCCACCTCCTCCCGGGATGGTTGCGTGACCTTTGGACCATTTCTCAGAATTGATGTTCCCATGTACAACATAGAAACTCAAGGCTGTTGCTTGAATAATTCAAGTAGAAAAAAAGCAATATATCTAAATAATGTTTTATATAACATGTGACTTACATATGTATTAATAACCAGATTAATGTTAAATATTATAGATGTTTGATAATTTTAGATAATTAAGAGTTCATGTATTCCAATTGTCTTAACAAATTTTGTTAAAGCTCAAGGTTGACACAGCTTGATGGGGTTAGGACCTTCTGAGGGAAGATAAGAATTTCTGGACAAAGTGTTGTGACCTTCTGAGGGAAGATAAGAATTTCTGGACAAAGTGTTGTGACAGATACTGCTGCAGCAGCCCCTCTTTAGATGGGCTGAGCCCACAGCTTGTCTCCTGCCTTGCTGACTTGATAGCCAGGTCGCTGTTTGGCTCTCTGTGTCTTCCCATCTTGCCCAGGGGAATATTTCTGAAGCCTGGCTGCAGCAGGCAGAGGAAGAGGGTTGGATAATCCATGCTTCCCTGATATTCCCATTTCCCTCGTTTTAAGGATGTAGAAAGTACAGTTCAGAGAAAGGGGGTCACTTATGTAAGGTTACACAGATAGTGCCAGCCTTGGGCCTGGAACCCACATCTCCCAATTCACAGCCTTCCCCAAGCACCACAGCTCTGCCCTGGATCAGACCTGATTCCTTTGTCCTCCGGACTGGCTTTTTTTCTATCACCCTGAAAACTTGCAGATGGCTTCTTACTACTTTCAGTAGCTGTGAGTGCAAGGACTACACGTGGAATCCTCAAACGCAATAGAAGCTTAATTGTCCCAATTTGCTAAAAAGCATGCAATCTTTTTTTAGTACCAATTGTGGATTATTTTTTAATGCAGACATGTGAACAGATAGAATGCTGTGTGATATTTGTTATACTAGAAGAACGTTCAGGGTGCTGTGGGGACTCAGAGGAGGGAATAATTAACTTATCCCGAGGGAAATCAACCCTGTTTCTCAAAGGTAGAGCATTTGGAACAGGTTTGAAAGGATGAACAGGAGTTTATCTGAAAAGAAGGGGAGCAAGAAAAAGTATTTCAGGGAGAGGGAACAGCACTTTTATAAACAGTTATGCAAAGGTTTGGTGTATTCGGGAGATAGCAGAGATATTGGGGCATGGCAAGGACATAGGGTATGTGGCAGATGAAGCTAGAGATGTCACGAGAGAGAGGCCAACTTGGAAAGGGCCTGAGAACCAAGTTGAGGATTTGGGCCTTTAAGGCCAAGGGAGGCAGAGGATATGTAAAAAGGGCTTCTCTGATCTATTCAGTTATTTCTCTTTTTTTATGATGCTAATGAGGCTGTGTTAGTATGACTAATGTGTGGGCCTCTGGTACCATGGAGTTGGAAGCCTTGTGGAAATTTTCAACGATTAGAGCAGCATTTCTTATCTAGGGATAGATGACTAGGGTCTCCCCAGAGATTAGAAGGGAGGAACGGTCACCTGATTCCCCTGGATAAGACCACCTGTGGAGAGCATCCTTCTCCACCTTTGGCCACTGTTCTTGATGGACAAAGACTAGGAGATTCCAGACTCAGTTCTGTTCATGGCTCTGTGAAGGCTGGGGGAGGTTTTAAACATTTGAGGGAGGGGGGCTAGGATGGGTGGAGGAAGAGTATTAAACTATTATTTTTCATGATTTTGTGGAATACTTCATGGTTAAAATAACTAAATTTTAATTTATGATTATACAGGTTGGCATTTGGGCTGGAATTCTTGGCTGGGTTGAGCTGGGCTTGGCTTATCTCAGCTGTGCTCATTCCTGTGTCTGGGTTCAGCTGGGTGTCAATTGGAGCTAACTGGCTTATGATGGCTCAGGTGGGACACCTGAAACAACTGAGACCTCTCTCCACATGGCCTCTGATCTTCCAGCAATCTACCTGAGGTTCATGTGAGAGTCTTAGAGTTCCTGAGAGCAAGAGCAGAACCATACAAAGGCACCTGAGGTTTAGGCTTGGAACTTGTTCATTGTCACTTTTGCTACGTTCTGTTGGTCAAAGGAAATCATGAGGTCAGCCTAGCTTCAAAGGCTGGAGAACAGACTCAACCTTAATGGTTTAGTTGTTTTAACCATGAAGTTTTGAAGTGGCTTATTTGAAGGGCAGGGGCACACAGAGGGGAAGAATTTGTGGACATTTTTTAAATCTACCTCTCAGACTGTTTGATTTTCATCATCTGGGAGAGTTGCTAATTGAGGTCATTGCCATGAATGGGATATGAGAAATCTTTTGAATGCAAAGTCAACATTCATGGATGGTCATGTGCTTTCTCAAGTATTACCTAATTTAATTCCCATAGCAACTCTTGTTTTCCCTTTCTATTTTACATATGAAGAAACTGGGGCACAGAGGAGTTAAGTGAGTTTAAATGAGTTGCCAACCAAGGTCATTGGGTGGTATACCTGGTGTTTGGGCTTACATTTGTCTTACTGAAAATCTAGACTGTGGTGGTATAGCGGCACCCACTGCCACAGGCAGTCCCTTCCCATGTCATTTTCATCCTTGGACACAGGCACCCAGTCCTGCTCAGAAGGCTCATTTCCTGGGCTGATTGCTCTGGGGGTGGGCCTGAAGAGCACCATAGTCTCTGGCGGTGGGGGAGGGGGGCAGTCTGATTCCGCTTATATAGTTCAGGAGCCCATTATGCTGAGGAATGTGTTGAAGATGGTTGCATTTCTCTGGGAAGAGGGGGTTAGGACAAGATGTGCATGTTCACAGGTGAAACACACATATATGTGATGCACCCAACATCACTAGCTGGAGAAGGCCCTACGGAAGCACTCTAAGCCCCAAGGGCAGACCGCTTGGTCTTGGCTGTAACAAGAGAAAAGTACCTCCTTGATGAGCAGGCAGGAAGGCCTTGCCTTTCTCTGGTTAGGGCCTTTTGGAAGCCCCCGCTTTGAGATCTTTAAAGTAATTCTGCTACCCGGTAACCTTAATGGCTGGAGTTGTGCCCTAGTCTAAACTGGTTCCCTGGAGGTTTGCTGGGCTCCTAGGACTGTGGAAAGAGGAGTGGGAGCAGCAGAAAGCACCCAGTTATCAACCAGAGTAGGGTTGGAACTGTAGTAGAATGGCTTGTGGGAGGGGGAAGGAAGGTAGGACCAGCAAACATAGGGCTGTAAAGAGGTGTGTAGGGCAGGCACCTAAGGGGATGGTCATGTTCAGAGTACCTAGGTGGACAGTGCAGGCTATGGTGTCAGACATAGTTAATTTTGGCACAAGTGGTATTGGCACATACCTTGGTTGTTATATATTAGAAAGCCTCATTTCAAGGCCTTATGTATAATCTGCCATGTTGCCCTGACTCTGCTATCTTTTTCCCCCCTCCCAGAGCTCATCTCCTGTCCTGGGTGTAAGCGAGTGTACCCTACCAGGGATGTAACTGAACATTTTTTTCTGCAGTGCTTCTCTGCTGGGCAATTCAAGATGGCCAGGGTAAGTCAAGACCAAAGAAGCAGCTGTTCCTTTTCAGAAATCTGTGGGACCCCTTTCTATAAGTCTGTCTACTTATCACTCCATCCAACTTCTTACCCTGGTATCAAATTGGCTCTTCCTCCCTCCCTCCCTTCCTCCCTTCCTTCCTTCCTTCCTTCCTTCCTTCCTTCCTTCCTTCCTTCCTTCCTTCCTTCCTTCCTTCCTTCCTTCCATGCATCTATCGAGAAAAAAATGAAAATGTTGAGTTGGGGAAAGCAAAATGGGAGTTTTTCCTCCTCATTCTTACAGTTCTTACTGAAAAATATTCGTATTGAGCTTTTATTTTCACTTTTCTACCCCTGAGTTGAAACTCATGCAGCAGACTGGGTTAAATGGGTTCTTCAGTCTTTCTTGTATTTAACAACTGATACCTGTAACCTGAGTTTTTGAAAGTTCACATTACTTACTGACTGCTTCTCCTTTTGTTCCTTTCTCCACTAGGGTATCCCTGACACTACGTTTTATTCATTTGTCAATTTACTTACTTGCTCCTGTATCTAATTTTTATTGAATATCTTGCATGTGGTAGGCCCTGTGCTGGGTGCTAGGCAGACAGAGACCCATGTTCTCTACCCTTAATTGGTTCATAGTTTAATTAGTAAAACTTTTAGTATTTCTTCTCTTCTTCTCCCTGCTATGGGTGTTTCAGACGTCAGTGTGAGGAAAAAGTTGTTAGAACCTACATCAGTTCAGTGGCCTATATTATTCAGAAATAGACATGCTAATTTTTTTCCAAAATCTCTTCTCCACATGCTTTACTAGTACATCAGCCCTGCAAGGTATTTGCTGACGAAATGAATGGACATTTGGATTAGGAGAGGACTGGGTACTCTTGGGCCCAGCAAGCCTCAGCTGTGGAAACATAACTCTGAGAGTTGATCTGTGCTTGTCCTTTCCTGGCTGTATACACTCATCTTGCTGTGTACCCCACATCAGCAGCTTCCTCCTCTCTGCAGGCACATTGACTTATTGCTTGTGCTTTCTCATTTTCCTCTCTTGTTTGCCGATAAACTTCTACTTGTCATTCCATATTCAACTCAAATGTCACCTCTTTCTGAGAACTTTCCTGGCCTCTCCTAGATGGAGCCCCTGGAAACTCCCCCTTGCTTCCTTAGATGTGCATCCTTATCACATCGTTACTCTGAATTCTGCCACCCGTCAGGCTATGTGAGCCTTATTCATTTGGGTACCCTCATCTTCAGCACAGTACTTGTGCTAATAGCCCCTGAGGACACTCTTCTTTTAGTCACAAGGTTGCTTTTCTTCACAAGCCCCCACATGTCACTCCCAGGCAGCTCTCCAGATTGACTGCATTCCAAACTAGTGGAGGAACAGCTCTGCAGGACCCCAGGCCCTAGAGCCTTTACTGCTCAGAGAGGCAGGCCCAAATAACTCCAGAACTTTCTGCTTCCAGAACTGCTCCGAGTGCAAGGAGAAGAGGGCGGCACACATTCTCTGTACCTACTGCAACCGCTGGCTCTGCAGCTCCTGCACGGAAGAGCACCAGCATGGCCCTGCCCCTGGGGGTTCGCTCTTCCCCCCGGCCCAGAAGGGATCTCCAGGTATCACTGCTGGCTTGCCCCACCAGCTCACATGCCCTTAAGCGGTGCTGAACCTTAAAATCCTGGGAGAATAGCTCTCTGACTTTGTTTCCCTGCTGGTGGTGGTGGTGGTGGTGATGGTGGCGGCGGTAGGGGTGGTCTCCTCCAGACTCACAGTCACAGTGTAAGTCACTCTAGGCTCACCCTGGTGGGGGTGGGAGTAGGTGAGTGTGGCTGAGATGTCTTCCTGAGCAGGGAGGAATAGTTTTGAATTATCATGGAAACTAGCTGAGTTCCTTACTTTCACCTCTATTTACAGCAGTCATGTCTCACTTCTAGTTACTTAATTAAACAGCTTGTATCAGGGCTTGTCCATTTGTCTAATACCCTTTGTTTTCAATGGCAATCTTTTTGAAAGTCTTTTCCCAAGGCCTTTAAACCATGGGAGGAATTTTACTGTTGTCATATCCATAGGAATCAGATTTTTTTTAAAAATATTTTTTTATTGATTTCAGAGAGGAAGAGAGTGGTAGAAACATCAATGATGAGAGAGAATCACTGATCGGCTGCCTCCTGCATGCCCCCAACTGGGAATCGAGCCCGCAACCCGGACATGTGCCCTTGACTGGAATCGAATGTGGGACTCTTCAGTCCACAGGCCGATGCTCTATCCGCTGAGCCAAATCGGCTAGGGCCACAGGAATCAGATTTAATGATCCATGTGATCTGACCTTGACCCTGGTGAGGCTGGTTAGCTGGTTTCAGCCCCATCACACTGAATCCTGGTTTAATGAAGAGTTTTAAGTTGAATTTTAGAGGAGTCATTATCCTGCAGGCGATCCATGTGCTGGAGTAGTAACAAACACTTTCCTTAGCCTCTGGCAGATAGTGGGATGCCTGGGGCTTGATAGTGTGTTATTTTTGGCCAGTTGTGCAATTTTTGGCCAGCTGAGCTAAGCCGGCATTCCTCGTGCTCCTGGAACCTCAGTGGCCCAACAAGAGGCCTCTTCTGTTTGCACCACCTATCCTTGAAGCTCTGTGTCTACCCTGTGTCCATGGAGGGTCCCATTGAGGGCCAAGGCCTGCTCGGTGGGGCTTAACTGAGAGGTCTTCCTGAACAAGAGAAGCCCACTTTCTCCATCTTGTCTGGCAGGAGTGAATGGTAGTTCTGGGGACTTCGCCTTGTACTGTCCTCTACACACACAGGAAGTGCTTAAGCTATTCTGCGAGACCTGTGATGTGCTCACGTGCCATAGATGCCTCATGGTGGAACACAAAGAACACAGGTAGAGTTGGCTGGCTGCTCAAAGGGGGATTGGGAGGGCTCTGTACTTCTTACTTATAGAGTGTTGGGCTCCTGGTGCATCAAAATTCTTTGCCTGCCTAAGCCAACTTTCAGCCCCTGGGATGAAGTTTTCTCTGCTCCTTTTGTGGGGATTCTTCACAGAAGGGCTAAAAAGCCAAGAGCCTGCAGTATCTTTGACTTTTCCTAGATGCAATTCCAGCCTCCATCGGCCTGGCTGAGACACGCACTGTGGGGATTCTTGCTTGGCTGGCATGTTCAGAATAAAACTCAGCTTTCCTCAGCTTTTTCTCTGCCTCCTCCTGTAGGTGCAGACATCTTGAAGAAGTTCTGCAAAATCAGAGGATGCTTCTGGAAAGTGTGACTACACAGGTGGCTCATAAGAAATCTAGCCTGCAGACATCTGCAAAGCAAATTGAGGACAGGTAGCACAAGCTAGCCCTTTGTCAACTCGGAAAATGCTCTGTTCCCTCACACCCTGGATATGCCTTTAGGCAGATGTGGGCATATATCCCAGAAGCATATGTCTTGGCCTTAGAGGTCTCAGGGCCAGTGAAAGGGCTTCAGGTCATCACTTAGTGAATGGGACCAAACTAGGTCAGGATGATCAGAGTGAGTCTGGGCCAAAGCACATGCCTTTTGAAAGTAGCCATGAAATAGCCAGAGGTTGGTGCTTGAGAACAAGGGCACAGAGTAGATAACTGGGACAAGAGTCCTGTTTATCCTAGGGTACAGCTAGTAGGTGGTAATCTGCCCTTTATCACCCATTTCCAAATGTTTTCTGTAGAAATCTACACATGACATGAAATCATTAGTATTTTACGAGGAAGAGGAATTACTAGGTACTAAGAGTTCATCATGTGGCAGGCATTGGATCGGGCATCATACATACATTATTTTGTTCAATTTTTACAATTCTTTGAGTTGGGTTAACTCCATTTTACTGATGAGGAGACTGAAGTTTGGAGAAGTTCGGTGATTTGTTTGAATAAACATTCAGTGATCAAGCTGAGTTTGGAAGCTGTTCTGTGTGACTTCAAAGCCCATGTTCTTTTTTTCTTCTTCTTTTTAACAGCTTTACTGAGATTTAATTTGCATACAATAATATTTCCCTTTTAAAATGTACAATTCAGTGGTTTATAGTATATTCATAGGGTTGTGCAACCATTATTATTATCTACTTTTAGAACATTTAATCACCCCAAAAAGAAACCCCATACTCATTAGCAGTCATTCTCTATTCCCCCAACGTCCCCAGTTCTTGGCAACCACTAGTCTACTTTTTGTTTCTGTCTATGCTCTTTTTACTGCATGGCCCTGTTTAGTGGAGCATTCTCCTTTTTAGACAATAGATTACATGAAGTCATACTCATACTTACTCTATCCTGCCTCTAGTCTGTGTGAACTGTTGAACTGCTGGGTTGACCTGGGTGTGGACCTGAGGTTTGCCTCAAGAAAACCAGGTTGAACTCTGGGCCACTGGCCCACTTAGCTCAGTTGGTCTGGGTTGTCCAAAGGGTGGGCTGGTGAGGAAGGTTCTTGTTTCTGTATATTTGGTGCTTGATGGGCCTTGATCTCAATGGGCAGCCTCCAAGTTGTTGGCTCTTATGTTTGCTGTCTCTAAGCCCTCAATAGGGCTCACCATGCTATGTCCCATCCTGTTTATAGGATTTTTGAGGTGAAGCATCAGCACAGGAAGGTGGAAAACCAGATCAAAATGGCCAAGATGGTTCTAATGAATGAGCTGAACAAACAGGCCAACGTGCTCATAGAAGAGTTGGAGGTACATGTGGACAGATGGGCCAGCGGGTGGGTTCTGTGCTCTCCCTAGGTCAGAAACCAGACACATATCAAACTGGGCCCATGGCGCAGAGCTTCTTGGGCTGGAATTTATGTGCTCTTTCTTGCTCCCTGTAACTTAAAATGTTCATTCTAATTTGGGGAGGGTGGTTCATTAAAGGCTGGAAAGTTAGTTCAAACTCTCATCAGCACTATGGCTCTAAGGCAACTGCCTTCCTGGGTTGTGCAACATTATAGCCTTGGAAGAAAGTCATAAAATAGCCCTCCTTCTTCATCAAGTTATTCCCAAGAGATGTAGACATTCATTATTTTTCTCATTCATTTATCACCTGTTCCATATTTGCACTATAAAATCCGTCCACTCTTTCTCCCTCCCTTCCTCCACCCCTCAGCAGCCCATGGTAGTGCTCTGTCCTGCTGTCCTCCTCTCGGGTGCAGTCTCATCTGATTCCATCAGTGTTTACACTGATACACACAGGCCACCAGATTTCCAAGCGGGTAGACTGCAGTCCAAGAATAGGATCAGGAACTCTGTCTTCTCTCTCTGTACCCAGGGCATTACTAATGAGAGAAAGCGGAAACTGGAGCAGCAGTTACAGAGCATCATGGTGCTCAACCGTCAGTTCGAGCATGTGCAGAATTTCATCAATTGGGCTGTTTGCAGCAAAACCAGTATCCCTTTCCTTTTCAGCAAAGAGCTGGTAAGAAGAACTCTTAATTCCTCAATCACTGCTTTTAAGTTAGTAAGTGGATGCCATTATTTTTACCAAACCCCATAGTGCAAAGAACTCAGGTGCTGAAATCATCCTGCCTTCCTCTAGGCAACTCAGCTGGGAAATTCTGTAGTTATTTGCCTTAGGTCACAGATTTAGAAATTATCCTGAACACTAGTGGTGTGCTGATCATCCCCTACAAAATTATTTGGGTTTAAATGGGGCCTAAGAGGAAAGAAGTGGAGGATGATGTTGAAGTGTTGAGCTTTGGGAGGAGATGATGCCCAGGAGCAATGATTTTGAGAGAAGTTGGTGGGATTTATATTTGGATGAGGAGGCAGAAGAAGGATATAAAGATACTAAGGTTCAAGGAAATGAACATACAGCAGAGGAGTTTAAATCTGAGATGCCTGTAGGACATCTAAATGGAGATAATCCAAAATCTGTATTGATAGATGGATTTGGAAGTCAAAAGACAAGTCAGGGTTTGAGATAGAGATGTGGGAGTCCCTGGAATATCTCTAATATCGCATTGGAACAGTGTGTGATGGAAGAAGAAAAGAACAAATCTGGAACCCAGGGAAATGCCATGAATTTCAGCAGAGGAGAGAGGAAAAGGACAAGTGAAAAGCAAAGGTCTGAGGAGAAATAGGAGAGAGTGGTGCACAGAAATTAACTGAGTTTCAAGTAGTCAATGTTATCCTTGCTACTGAGGTGAAACAGGATGAGTAGTGAAGAGATACCTTGAGATCTGGGAATCAGGAAGTCCCTGGTGGTCTTGTGAAAGAAATTCTAGCAAAGTCTAGAATTAAAAGCTAGAACAAGGGGACTGAGGATGGGAGGTGAAGGAGAGACAAGTGAAAAGAAGGGAATCCAGAAGATAGCTTGACAAGGCGACTTGACTTTTTTTTTTTTTTTTAATACGGAAAATGTTTGCATGAATTTATTTGGGAGAAGTTGAAAATAGTTGTGTGGTAGAGTGAGCATACTGAGAAGGCAGAAAGAAGTGGGGTCTAGAGTGAATTGGTTCACCTTAAACATAGAGGCATTCCCTTCCTGTGAGATGGAGGACAGGCAGGCATCAGCTTTCATGTAGTTAAGTTGGGAGGTAGGAGGGATACAAGTTTGAGGGAGTTGGCCCTTTATGGTCTCTTTTGTCCTCTGTGAAGTTGAAAGTGATAATAAGAGGGTTAGGCCTTGGGTAGGTGTAAAGATTTTAAATAGTCACTGTGGCAGTGGATGAAGAAGCCGACAAGAAAGGAAATGACAAGAAAAAGGACTGAGGTTCATAATCACTGACCCAACCCCAGATAACATGCTTTGGAATGGCTGTATTGTCCTAAGGTTAGGCATTGGTGGTGGGGAGGAATTAGGGCACAAGTGACATTGTTAATGAAAATGATGAAAAGCTGAGATGATCTTATGGATTGATGGGGCAGGCTTACGGAGCTCAACGAGATTGAAGAGCCTACTCTGAAAGAGTTAGAACTAGTTATGATCAGGTAATAGGTTATTGGAGTTTACGGTCTCATAGGTAAAATGGTTGTAGGTGATGAAAAGGATGACTGAACTGAAAAGAGAAGTGAAGTTGATTGACATTTAAAAGAGATCAAGGAAGTAAGAGGCCAAGATGTTGATTGGGGCATTAGTTAACTAGATGATGGCAGGATAAGTTGGTCATTTGCCAGAGCCTTAGATAAATGGGAGGGTTAGTGATAGGAAATAGATGAAAGTGATGAGGGAGGAAGAGGTCAGTTGATTAGGATGGAAGGGACTTTTACCTGTGGGTGGAAGGACAGCACTAAGGGAGCTCAGAGAATGTCTGCCCCATAGGCTTATAAATTGAGATATGATAGAATGAGTGGAGCACTCTTGAGAGATCTGCCAGCAACTGATATCCTGAGAGGAATTACAAATTATTTGAGGCTTGGAAGAAATAAGAATGTAAGGATTTCAGAAGCCTCAATAAGAGGAAGGGGATCAGTGGGGAATGGGAGGGGGTTCCAGGTGGGTAGAGGTGGTGAGGAGGCAGGACAAGAATATGGAGACACTAAGGTTCAAGGAAACGAGCATATGGCATGAAGAACTGAGTCTAAAGAACCCATGGCTTTGAGCCCTTCAACCTGTTCAAAGAGTGAGGGAGAGGGAATTTTCATTTCTTGGACCAAGATGCCCAAGAAATGACTTTTGGTGCTGTTGTCAGATTGTGTTTCATATGCAGCGTATTGCTGGAGAACAAATTGTAACACA